GGGGGGCACAGGAGAGCTTGTCTGCAAGGGGCAGTGTGTGGGGGTTGCTTATGGGGGAAGGAAGGTGAGGAGTTCTGGGGAACCAGGAACTTGGTCCTTTCTGCTCACTGTACCCGGTTGTCAGAAGCCCATTGGTTCCTTAGGCGCTTGGGAATTTTGAGGTGGGTCCCCTGCTGGGCCTGTCTGGACTCAGCCAAGGGGACACTGGGGCCCTTCCTCCACTCCTTTGCTCAAGCCTCCTTGCCTAAAAGCAGCCTCTGCAAATCTTACAGTGATTCAATTGTTTAGGTATATCTACTGTTATTTCCAAAATCAGATTGATATTCTGAAATCCTGTTTTCAGTCCAATGGAAATTCCAGTGATGATGTGTCCTTTGATGTGCATTAGGCGCTGATAACGTTTGTTTCTATTCAGCTGATGTAAACTTCTTTTATTGGCTTGTGCTGTCTGCCAGATCCTCCCCTGTCATGTTCCTATTTTCCCTCCTGTCATTTGTAAGGAACATAGGATACTGAAGAATATGCAGGAACTATTGCATTTCAGGTGTAAACTTCTTTCTTCTGCATTTTGCTTGCTTGTAGGTTCGTTCTTTCCTTCATTCTTTCTTTTACACATTTTCTCAGTTGTGAGACAGAGAGAACACATGAGTGAGGACAGGGAAAGAAGGAGAAGCAGATTCCCCACTGAGTGGGGAGCCCAACTGAGGGTTCCATCCCAGGAGTCTGGGATCATGACCTGAGCTGAAGGCAGACCCTTAACCAACTGAACTATCTGGTTCCACCCTTGCTTATAGTTTCTGAGGAGGAGAACAAAGTCAAAAGAGGTGTGGATAAAATTAAATTTCCTCCAGCTCCCAGTCTCTTGATAAATACCTGAGAAAGGCAGACTAGGACATTCCTCAGGGAACTCACAACTGCCTCAAGGTTAATGTTTTGTTGGATGCAAAAAACAGCCTTAGCTTGACAGTAGACCTCCAGGACCTTGTAATTCCTCTTTAACAGATGAAAATTGCTTTGGAAACTTCCTTGAACTCTATTCCCTAAATGTAGCTTGGCCATCATCCTTCAAGCTTGTGGCCCACTGATAGATATCTGGAGGGTCTCCTGACTAAAGTGTTACTAAACAGTAGTGGCCTCATCAAAACACCAGCAGGGGGTCCCTGAGGGTCCTGGAAACTTGCTTCCAAATTCCTTCGAGCCTCCTGCTAACCCTCACCCCCTCCCCACCTGAAAGCATAGAACCAGTCACTGCTCACGTTCCTCTCCCCTTGCTTTAGGACCACAGTGTTTGTACCATGGGTATCTCAACAATCCTTTCTTCATCATTCACTCCAGAGCCCCAGTATTTCACATCAGAAACATGTCTAGAATTTCTTGACCATTGGCTCCTCTCCCACATCCCAACACTTTGCACTGGACAAGGAGGGCTGTCACCTCTGTGTAGTTGACAGAGTTGACTTCTGGGAGTGAAAGGAGTGAAAGTTCTCAACCAGGCAGCCCCCTGCCCCATAGGTTTTCTTTCACACTCATACCATGGAGATGAAAAGGTCAGGTCTGGGTCTAGCTGGTGACACTAACTTCCTCTTCATCTTAGGGACCATCTTAGGGGCACAGTTTGTCAATGGTCACTTGGTGACTGTGGTTTTTGTTACAGGGACTGCTGACCTTCAGGGATGTGGCCATAGAATTCTCCGAGGAGGAGTTGGGACGCCTGACCCACACTCAGCGGCAACTGTACAGGGACGTGATGTTAGAGAACTATGGACATCTCCATTTCTTGGGTGAGGAAGACTCCTTCCAGGTTTCCAAAGCCCCACACAGGGTTTTGTTCCTTCTTGTGAAGACTGCCTCTTGGGAGATTTCGCTTGGAATGACTGGATTCCAGATCCAGGCAGAAAGGGAAAAAAGTAGGGGTTTGTGGATGGAGAGACAAATCTTCATGATGTTTCCTTTTTAGCCTCAGCTTCTCCTTCCTCAAGGTAACATCATGGCTTGTGAAGATGAGCGGCAGTTCTCAACATTGAGTGACATAGAATGGTGCTGCTCACATCTGAGACTGAAAATTCCCCTTCTTATTTTCATGTCTGCTACTTATAAGTAGAGGTCAGGATGTGAACATTGGAAATGCCTCCAATGTGTTCTAAATGGACTGTTGGGCAACAGCTTTTGGGAAACCATTTTCTAGAATTGTCCAATATCTTCTCTACTGAACACAAGACTCGTGGGAAGTTAGAATCAACAGAAATAGTCATTTTTCTTTTTCCTCAGAAACAGGTCTCCTTCTGTCAAAGCCAGACCTGATCATGTTTTTGGAGCAAGAGAAGCAGCTCTGGGATGTGAAGAGAAAGGAGACTGGAGGCTTCCATCCAGGTAAGTGGGAATGAATGAAGCAGATGACAGAGGGGACGTCCAAGTCTGAAGGAGGAAGGTAGACCTTAAGCTGTGGTTCGAGTAGCTCTCCTTGAGTGAATGTCAGTTGGAAATATGCCCAGTTTTTTGTCTCTCTCTCTCTCCCAGAGGGACATCTGCTCTCCAACATTATCTAGCTCTTCCATTCTCTAGGGATTCTCCTTCAGCTCCAATGATGGTCCAGCATATAATCGTCATATAATTGGAGGGGGAGTCCTCCTTAATCTCCCTCCATTTCTATGAGGACCCTGGGGAAGTCATCCTATTTCTGAGGACCTCTACGCTAAAGTCTTTCTAAATTCTGGTTTTCATCATGAGACAAGTAGGTCAGGGGGTTTGGTGCAGAAATTCCCAGAACACTTGAGACATATTTCTAATGTTCTCTGGCTTATACTTTCTAATGTTACAGAGGCTTTAATCTTAGGCCTACAAAACTGAGATTCAGTAACTTCATCAGTTAACAAAGCACAGCCCTAAAATGAGAAAATGTACTGCTTTATTTCCCTTCAAATGTTGTTTTTTCTTATTCTTTCTTTCTTTTTTTAATTTATTTATTTTTTTTTTTTTTACATATAGTTATTTCCACTCTTTTGAGTTTGTTTCCTCAGTGGTGAAATAGTGTAATAACGTCTGTCTTTGTTTCCTAGAATACCTACATAACAAATGCTATTGGGGAACTAGCACATTTAGAAGTTGAACTTGTAGCCTTTAATAAAGTCTCATTTATTACCTCATTTTTTAATAATTGCATCATGATTCTGTCTTCTGTGAACTTCTTGTGACTTTTTCATATGTATTTTCACTTTCTGATTAGTTCTATATGTGATTTAGCTCAATATTTTGTACATCAAATGTCCTGATATGACATGTGCATGTGCTTTTTAAGAAGTGAGTTAGACTGTTAGTAAATTTCCCATATATTTTGTTTAAAATTTTTATTTGAGAAACAGAGAGAAAAAGTGAGTAGGGAAAGGGCAAAAGAAGAGGGAGAAGCAAACTCCCTGCTGAGCAGGGAGTCCAGTGTGGGGCTGGATCCCAGAACCCTGAGCTCATGACCTGAACTGAAGGAAGCTTCTTAACTAATTGATCCCCACAGGTACCACAAATCCCCATGTTTGGAAAATATTTTCAGTAATGCAATATTATTTCTGGGAAATTAATAATGAACTTTTTCTTCTGCATTCCTCAGAATGTATCAGAATTTAACCCCAAATATTAATTTCATATACAGTGTCTCTCAGCATATTTTTCAACTTTCATGGTGTTTATTTACTGAGAAAAGAAGATGTTGTTTGTTTCCTCTGTGTTACAGAATGAATTAACAGGGTTACATTCTGTGCAGGAGGAGGAGTGTATTAATAACATAGTATATTTCTTTCAAGTCTTTTAATTCATATAATTTTCATTTATAGCATTTTGTGATTGATTTTAATGAGAATTCTTTATAATGTTATAGTCCATGAAGATATGCCAATCAAATGCTTGTTTTTCATGGATATATGGACACAGTTTTAAATTATGGTTATATGGAAGTTTTCCTTTTCTGTCACACATCAATGTTTTATTTAGAATTTCGTGGGTCAAGTTTTGTCTCATTCTGGTATGGTTATTTCCTAATAATGTGCTGCTTCTGTCTGGCTCATTCCACAACATTAGCTAGGTGTAGATTCAGTTTTATCTGTGTATGTTGTTATAGAAAGAGAATTTTTCAGCTCCGTATATTTCAAGACCATCGAAGTATGCCTCAAAACACAATGACCTTCATGCTTTTTGCTGGTAAATTTTGTGTGTCTTTGTCTTGTGTTTGTATGTCACACATACATACTGTGTGACCCCTACTTTTTGTCTCCTTGGTGAGTGGTCAGTGAATGTTGTACCATGTCTAGGTGAGTTATCATCAACATAGAATTCATTTCCCCATGTATTTGTGGGTGAATTTTTATTCTCTGTGCATGAGAGAGAGACTGTTTTGAATTCAAGTAATTTTCAAATGTTTTATACTTCTGTATCATGTTTTGGTATGAAATATGAAAGATATATTTTATCTGTAATTGTAAGATGAATGCCCATGATATGCCTTGGTACCTTTCTCATTGCCTTTTGTGTCTTCTGGGAGTATTTTCCTTGTGGTTACTCTAGAGATTCCTTAAAACAACATTGTTGTAAAACAAACCATTTCAACCTCTGTGTTGGGTACATAGAAGATTCTTTCTCCTGTCTCTACCCCTGCACCCACTTTGTTACCAGTCACACATTCTTTTATGTTGTGTACTTTATGACCTACTTTAATGATTTTTATACTTTTTTTTTTTTTAAACAAAGCTGTGTAGCAGAAATAAACGTGACTGGTGTCTCATTACAACACTGCAGGTTGGTGTAATTGTCTACATATTTATGTTCAGCAGAGAGCTCTGTGTCCTCGTGTGGTTGCAGTTCCTGGGTAGAATCCTTTTATTTCTTTGAGAGAGCATTCCTTTAATGGTTCTTTTTGTCTTTTTGTCTCCTTGGATAGATCTACTGGTAAACGTAGAGGGGTTTTTACTTGGGAATGTCTTCATTTCTACATCTGTGGAAAAGAGTTCTGCCTGGTAAAGTATTCTTGGTGGTAATTTTCGACCTTTCAGTACTTGAGTGCATTATGCCGGCCCCATTCTTGTTGGGACTGCTGGGAATCCCACTGCTGCTGTTCTGTGAGCTCTTGCATAAGGTGAATTGCATTTGCCATGCCGTTCTAAAAGTCCATTTTCATTTGTGGTCTTTGATGGATTAACTACAACATGTCATCAGTCCTCCCATTCTTTGTATGTGGTCTGCTGTATATACCATAGTTTTATAAGGAAGTAATTTGAGGAAATAAAACATTAAGGCAATCATAGGGAAAAAACATTTACTGTAGTGCACTGGAGTCATCAAGATAAACTTGTCTGTGTAAGTGGACCGTTACTGATGAAAAGCACGTTATTCAGTGGTTAACTGTGTTTGTTACTAGACCTGAAAGGATTCAGGGGCAGGTCGATCTCTAGAGGGGGATCAGTATTTGCAGTGTGATTCTTTTTTTTCTTTTGACTGTATTTTATACATGCAGATGGATGTCCAAACAAAGCCAGTGTAGCGGGGCACCTGGGTGGCTGAGTGAATTAAGACTCTGCCTTCAGCTCGGGGCATGGTCCCAGGGTCCTGGGATGGAGCCCCGCATCAGGCTCTTTGCTTTCTGGGGAGCCTGATTCCCCTCTCTCTCTCTGCCTGTCTTTCTGCCTACTTGTGATCTCTCTCTCTCTGTCAAATAAATTTTTAAAAATCTTTAAAAAAATAAAAAAAGAGAAAGCCAGAATAGCTAAACTTTCATCAGATAAACTAGCCTTTTAAGTTTTGGTAGAAATTGCATTTTCTGTAAATTGCTTCAAGATTTATTGTTTTTCAATTATTCCAGTGAAGGAACATGGATGCGTTTCCTAGTTACTCATTCTTTGATTCCTTCACAGTATATTACACTTTTCTTCTTTCTGGTTTGACCTCTACCATTATATTAAATTGGAAGAATTTTGGGGGTAGGGGGTTTGCTCTAAATGTATGATGTCTCTGTTTTGGGAATTGTTCCTTGTTGTGTAGAAACAAAACTAATTTTTATGTGTTGGTTTGTGTACCAGCTTTATAAAATCCATATGAGTTTCAACAGGATTAAAACAATAAGGATTGGGCACCTGGGTGGTTCAGTTGGCTAAGTGACTGCCTTCAGCTCAGGTCATAATCCCAGGGTCCTGGGATCGAGTCCTGCATGGGGCTCCCTGGTCCATGGGGAGTCTGCTCCCTCTGAACTTCTCCCCTTTCATGCTCTCTCTCACTGTCTCTCTCTCAAATAAATAAATAAAATCTTAAAAAACAATAAGGATTCACAGGAGAAGCAATGGCAGTGGAGTAGGAGGATCCTAGACTCATGTGTCCTGTCATGAGCACCACCAGGTAACTGTCAGGTATTCCTAAATGCCCCAGACATTGGGCTGAAGGGTGACAGGAGAAACTCCCCAAGTAAGAGGAGAGAAGAGGCCACATGGAAGATGGCAGATAGTGCAGAGACATGGTTTAGGGAGGAAAGGAGTATAGCATTGTGGAGGGCAGGGAGCCCTGGTTGTGCAGTAGGTGTCATGACAGAGGAGCACTCAGGGGAATGCCCAAGGAAGTTTCCCTAAGCCATTGGCTTAGAAAGGGAGAAGGGCTGAATTTCATGAGTTCTTGGAACCAGCACATCTTAAAGCCTGGAGGTTTAATGGTCAGCAGGTTTGGATGGGATAGAACCAGAAGGGCACTGGAGTGCTCCCGGACAGAAGGTTGGCAAACAACATGGGGGCACTGAGCATGGAAACAGTCATCTGAAGAACACCTGGGGTGCACAGTGGGGAGAGTATTCAGTAGTCTAGGAGCACATTCCTGAGAGGAAACATTCAGTGACATGTGGCTTCCAAAACATGGGAGCCCTCTCCTGTCCTGTAGCATAAAGCAGAGCCGCATTCAGTGAGGACACTGGCTGTCTTCCTTGTTTGGACCAGGCCCTACCCCCTGTGATCTGAGGGGACTGCCCTTCTCAGTGAGGCTTGCCTCAAGCTCAGCAAGGTCAGCCCCTGCCCACAACACATCTCCTGAGCAGAGGTTCTGCAGGTTCGCAGTCCTGGTGGAGTTGACCTCAGGTCTCCTTTCACAGTCGGAGCAGAGCTCACCTAGTTCAAACTGGCCACATTCATGCCAGGGACCAAACACTGCCTGTAGCAGGCAAGGAGAGCCCCTGCAGACCACTGGTCTAAAAGATACAGCAGGACACATCACTGACTTTTTTAATGGACAGAGGAAGGTAGAGAGTTAGACAAATGCCAAGATGAAAGAATTTATCCCAAAGAAAAAAAATTAGACCAGGGCAAAAGATACAAGGGAAACAGATAATAGTAACTGTAGAATTTAAGTCCACAATCAGAAGGATATTCAAAAGGTTGAGAAAAGGATAGTGAAAACTTTACCACAGAGATAAGAATTAAAAAATAATCGGGTGCTTGGTGGCTCACTTGGAGAAGCCATTGACTCCTGATTTCTGCTGAGATCTTGATCTCAGGGTCCTGGGATCGAGCACCACATCGGGCTCATTGCTCAGCTGGGAGCCTGCTTCCCCTCTCTCTCTGCTTGCTTATCTGCTTACTTGAACTCTCTGTCAAATAAATAAATGAAATATTTAAAAAATAAAAATCAGACATAGATGAACAATGCAGTAAGCGAGAATAGAAACAGGTTTGATGTAAGGGTATGCTGGAAGCAGAAGAATGACTTTGTCACATGGAAGGGAAAATAAAAAATACTGAGTCTGAACAAAAGACAGAGGGAGAACAATCATGCATCACGAGATTTATTTAGGTAACTCATTGACCCCATCAATGGTAGTAAAATTCCTAGGTCTTGGGCTTTTCTGTGCTGGTAGAATATTGATTCCAAATTCAACTTTCACACTTTTTATTGATCTAAGGAGATTTCCCATTTCTTTGGTTCTTGTTTAGTAATTCAGTCTTAATATCTTGTCTATTTTTAGGAATTCTCTAGTTTTTTGTTTTGTTTTGTTTTGTTTTGTGTTTTCATAAATTTCCCCATTAGTTATTATGTACTGGTTTATGGAGTTAACACATTGCCAGTTTTATTTATTTCATTGATTGAAATGGGCATTATTTTTTGTGTTCCATTAGTGTTAATCTTATATTTTATTTCAGATTTTTCTTTATTTTGTTTCTCTACTTTCATCCTAGTTTCTTCCTTTTTTAGTTCTTCTGGTGGAAATTAAGTTGTTTTTTCCAACATTTTTCTTAACTTTGTATTGTATAACATGAAGAAATTGGGAAATGGAAAAACTGGCAGAAATAAACAATACAAAAAATGACCAAAACAGTAAAAAAAATTAAAATGATGATTTTTAGGGATTTCTTTTTTTTTTTTTTTACATTTTTATTCATTTATTTGACAGACAGACATCACAAGTAGGCAGAGAGGCAGGTAGAGACAGAGGAGGAAGCAGGCTCCCCACCCAACTGAGAGCCCTATGTGGGGCCCCATCCCAGGACCCTGATCATGACCTGAGCCCAAGGCAGACACTTAATCATCCCGATTTTTAGGGTCTATAATCATGTCATGTGTGAACAAAGAGAGTTTTACTGTTTCTTCTTCAGTTTAGATTCCTTTACTCTATTTTTGGTTGCATAATTGTTCTGACCAGAGTGTCCAGTACTATACTCAAGGGCAGTGGTGGGGTCACTTCATTACCTGCTGATCATAAAGGAGAAGCTTGCAGACTGTCCCTACTGAATAGGTTAATTTGCAGCTTTTCATACATCTGTGGCATTCATTAGGTTGAACAGGTTTCCTTCTTTCTCTACTTTGTTTATAACGTGACATGTTGTCCAGTGTGCCCATATTTGTATTCTGTCTCACTTAATATGATCATGTCTTTTTTTTTTTAAAGATTTTATTTATTTAAGTGACAGAGATCACAAGTAGGCAGAGAGAGAGGAGGAAGCAGGCTCCCCACTGAGCAGAGAGCCCGATGTAGGGCTTGATCCCAGGTCCCCGGGATCATGAATTGAGCTGAAGGCAGAGGCTTTAACCCACTGAGCCACCCAGGTGCCCCGATCATGTCATTTTTAATCTTCATTCTGTTATCATGAAGTCTTCAAGTTATGGTTTTCTATATGTTGGAGGGCCCTTAATTCCTGGACCGTTTCCCACTTGGTGATCTTTTGTAAAAAGGGAAAATGTGCTGTTGATTCAGATTGCTATTTATTGTGGGCTTTGAGTGAATATTCCTCGCAGGCAGTGGTTTGTAAACCCTGTTGTTTGTAGTGTCTTCATCTGGCTTGCATGAGCTGGTAATGCTGGTGCCACAGAGAGAGTGTTCTGCTAGTTTCCCTGATCATCACTTCTTAGAAATGTTTGAGGAGATTTGCAGTCCTTTCTCCTTCAGTGTCTGTTTGAATATCCAATGAATTAATCTGGCACACAATTTTTATTTGTTGGATTTTTTCTTTTATTCCTCTTTCATTCAGCTTCATGGTTGTAGATCAGTTGATATTTTTTTCACTTTTCTGAAAGATGGAGTGGAAATTGGTTATACCTTTTTTGAAATTTATACTTGTCTTTTGGTGGGCATTGATTATCCATTGTTGCCTCTTATAATTACTTTGATTCCTACAGTCAGTTATATTGTGTTTGCTTTCACTTCTTCACCAGTCATTTTAGTCAGTTTTTTCTCTATTATTCTTAATTTACTTCTTGGGCTTTCAGTGTTCATCTTTTCTGACAAACAACTCTTCCTGTGGTTGATACATTCCTATTTTTCACTGCACTCTATTTGGTTCAGTTCAGTTTTCTGTTTCAGTATCCATCGTTCTGCTAGTTTTGAGCTCATGTGACCCTTTTCCTGATTGTTAGAGATAAAGAAAAGTGATTTGTGCTACACCATGACCATACCACAGGATTATCTATTAGACTCTGTGCTCAGTACGTTCTGTGCCATGTTGTGTGTCCATGGAGAAATGAAGTCCTGATGACTCCTTCTCAGCCATCTTTCTGACATTGTCTGATTGACTTGATGCTTCTATATTAGCAGTCATCAGTATATTCTTCTGAATGTAGTAAGTGCAATGGTTTTACTCTTATTTGGTATCTTTCAGCTCTATCGTCACATGACACCCAGAGTTTTCTGCTAAAGTGGAGCATAGAAGGTTCTTTCCAGAATGTGTCAATGCACAGATACAAACATAGTGCTGTTGAGATTTTACACTTACGCACAGACTGGGACAATGATGGGGAGAGTGAAGGGCATCAGAGAAATCCTGGACGATACACCCAAACTAAGGTAATTGCCCTTAATGAAAATCTCACTGCCCCAAATGGTGAAGGAAATAAAGCACTGTGGAAAACCTCCCTTTTTAAGTCAACTGTTTCTGCAGAGCAGTGTGTTTTTGTCAGCACAAGCTCCAATCAAATATTCAATCATAGCGATTTGTGGACAGACTGTTTGGAACATCTGGAAAGTAACCTAGTCCAAGCTGAAAATAATGATTTGAGCCATTTGGAAAATAGGATTGGCCTGAACTTTCAGTCAAGTATTTCTGATCATCAGAGATTTAGAAATGAAGAACAAAGTGCTCAGTGGGATCCATTCGAGAGGGACTTCACCGAGGAGTTGACCCTCCAGAATGACCAGAGGATTTCCACTGGAGACAGAATTGCCCAATGCACTGAATCTCAGAAAACATTGAACCAGGGCTCCAGTGTTCACAGATGTGTCAGGGCTAGGTTTGCAGAGAACCATCATGAATGTGATAAATGTGGGGAAGGCTTTCATCCAAACTCTAACCTCAGTATACATAACAGTGTACTTTTGGGAGACAATCCTCATAAAGATAATGAATGTGGGAAAGCTTGTAACCAGTCCTCCAGTGTTGGTGATCATCAGAGAATTCACGAGGGAAAAAATGCATTCAGTTCTAATAAACCAGGGACCATGTTTAGTCAGTCATTAAGCCTAAAAAGAAATGACATAATTCCTAGGAGAACGGAAACTTACATCTTTAAGGAATGTGGTAAATCCTTTGACTGCCACTCAACACTGTCTCCACATCAGCGAATGCATACTAGAGAAATAGTATACAAATGTGAAGAAGGTGGTCAAACCTTTAAGGACTGTTCATCAATAAAGGGACATTTGCAGATCTATACTGGAGAGGAACATTACCAATGTCAGGAATGTGGCAATGCTTCTACATTGCACTCAATGTTTCCTGGATATCACCGAATTTATACTGGAGAGAAACCTTACAAATGTCAAGAATGTGGCAAGCCTTTGAACAATCATTCAAGTCTTTTTTTTTTTTTAAAGATTTTATTTATTTATTTGACAGAGAGAGATCACAAGTAGACAGAGAGGCAGGCAGAGAGAGAGAGAGAGAGAGAGAGGGAAGCAGGCTCCCTGCTGAGCAGAGAGCCCGACGCGGGACTCAATCCCAGGACCCTGGGATCATGACCTGAGCCGAAGGCAGTGGCTTAACCCACTGAGCCACCCAGGCGCCCAATCATTCAAGTCTTAATAGAGATCACCAAATTCATATTGTAGGGGAAAATTACAAGTGTAACGAATGTGCCAAAGTCTTTAAATCACACTCAAAACTTACTGAACATCACAGAATTCATAGTGGAGAAAAACCTTACCAGTGTCAAGAATGTGGCAAGGCCTTTAAGCAGAATTCACACCTTACTCAACATCACAGCATTCATACTGGAGAGAAACCTTACCAATGTCAAGAATGTGGCAAGGCCTTTAACGTGCACTCACACCTCAGTCGACATAGCAGAACTCAGTGACCAATGTCAAGAATGTGGCAAGGCCTTTATTGACAGTGGCACCCTTATTCGACATCACAGAATTCATACTGGAGAGAAACCTTACCAGTGTCAAGAATGTGGCAAGGCCTTTAACGTGCACTCACACCTCACTCGACATAACAGAACTCATACTAGAGCAAAACCCTATAAATATCAAGAATGTGGGAAGGCCATTCATTGGAACTCAAGGCTTACTCAACATCAGAGAATTCATATTGGAGAGAAACCTTACCAATGTCAAGAATGTGGCAAGGCCTTTAACCACAGGTCACCCCTTATTTGACATCACAGAATTCACAGTGGAGAGAAACGTTACCAATGTCAGGAATGTGGCAAGGCCTTTGTTGACAGCAGCACCCTTATTCGACATCACAGAATTCATACTGGAGAGAAACCTTACCAATGTCAAGAATGTGGCAAGGCCTTTA